GGATTGCACATTAAAGTGATATGACAGCTTATTTAGTCCAACAAGGCGAGTAGTGGGTCATTGTGACCTTTTATAGGATTAAGAAAGGAAACTCCATTTTTAATTCTTTAAGGAACTTTCACACTATTCTCTAAAGTGGCTGCACTAATTTACATTCCCACCAACAGTGTAGGAGGGTTCCTTTTTCTCCACACCCTCTCCAGCATTTATTATTTGTAGACATTTTGATGATGACCATTCTGACTGGTATGAGGTGATACCTCACTGCAGTTTTGATTTGTATTTCTCTGATAATTGGTGATATTGAGCATCTTTCCATATGCCTATTGGCCATCTGTATGTCTTCTTTGGAGAAGGATGTAGTTAATTTATAGAAAATAGAGAGATGAGATCTCCTTGCACGCAGGTTTGTAGACTGTTCAGAGTTGGGCATATATTTGCATTCCTGGAACTGGAGTCATTTCACGTTGAGACCTTGTTAGGGAATTGATGTTGTTAAGATGAGGAGGCTAGCAGACTGAGGTGGCTCTGAGGTGGGTCTCCTGCCATGGAAGCCTACAGAAGAAAACCAAAATCTAACCCTGTATATCCCTCCAGGTTAGGAAATGAAAATGCTAAGGACAATCAATCACAGACAGCTAAAGAGGCTTTAAGATCTAGCCAGTCAAATCATTTTTCTTTGCTTCTGTACCTTCTCTATAGAAGGCCTTCGGCTGTCTCCTCTCCTGGGGTGCTCCAAACCACTTCTAGTTTGGCACATCTCAATTCAAATGGGTTTTTGCTCAAATATACTCTTAATATTTAAAAATATGCCTTGGTTTATCTTTTAACAATGTGTAGACATGAATGTGGGCCTTGAGAAGTCTGATCACTGAGGGAATACTTGGAGCCTCAGAGGAGTCCAGGTTTGAAAGTGTGTCACTGAAGAATTTAAACCCTTCAAGCAAACAAATATATGTATGTATATGCATGACTGGGACATTATGCTCTACCCCAGAGAGTGACACATTGTAACTGACTGTATTTCAAGAAAAAAACAAAACAAAACAAAAACCCTTCAAGAAGATTCAGTTGGTAGAAAGGAGGAAGAGAGGGTGATTTTGACTTGCTCACAATGTCTCATTCCCCACAGCTCCTAGTGTTACAGAACACAACCTGGGTCCACACACTCATGTGCAGTAAAGCCAATCTAATGATACCAGGTTGTGGTGAAGGAATGTGCCATGTTTAAGGAGCCAGACAAGGAGTCTGGGACAACGAGTGCTCAAAAACCCCGAACTTCCCAATGGGTTTCAAGGAGGCATTTTTAAAGGCCAGGTGAGGGAGGAGAATCACAGTGTATGTGAACAGCTGGTGCACAATTCTCTGATTGGTTGATGGTGAGGAAATGGGGCAGGGTTAACATTATCCATCCTTAGGCTCCAATAGGTCTAGGGGGCTACATGCTTAGGGTCATCAAGTAGTTAATGTCTTCCATTTGATGGAGTAGTGGTTTCAGCATTTGTATAACAACTTAGGATCAGATACTGTTATCTAAGTACTACAGAGAGGAAGTAAAGCAGAGGACATGGGGCCAGGGGTCTGTCCCAGGAAGGCTCCATACACTAACAATATACAAAAAAAAGGGGATGAACATGGAAAGTGATTTTCAAGGCTCTGTCTTAGCCTCTGACTTTCCAAAAAAACTGAATGGTTCTCTGAAAAAAGAAGACATATAGCAGTCAATTCCTGGGATTCAGAAAAACTTGTGTTTCTGCAAACCTGGACATGACTCCAGAGGTAAGGGTGGGTGTTATGGGTTGAACTGTCCCAAAAGATATGTTTAACTTCTAGCCTCTGGTGCTTGTGAATGTGACCCTATTTGGAAATACAGTGTTTGCAGATGGAATCAAGCTAAATGTGTTTATACTATATTAGGGTGGGCCTAATCCAATAATGACTGGTGTCAAATGAAGAGGGAAATTTGGACAGTCACACATTGGGGGGGATGTCTTTTCCACAAATGTAGAAAATAAAAAAAATCCAGTTTTATTATTGAATATGCACCAAACCAGACTATGACACACATCACAGGCAATCCCCTAATGAGACTGCAAAGAGAGAAATCTCACCCTTTATACAGCCAAGTATACACAATCCATTCCATACATGTTCTCAAGATAAATGATAACTAGTTCTCATGTTAGAGGACTTGGAAGCTTGGAAGCACCATTTGTTATATATTCTTTCATAGTTCATCCTAAATTTACCTGGTAATTGGCTTGGTCACCTGTGTTAGTAAATTGCCATTATCTGAAACGAAAACAGAACTTTCTATCCCTGTGACTCAGCTTGGAATCAGGCACTTTAGGCTAAATTCCCATGATATCAGTCAGGGAGATAGGGGGCGCCATCTCCCCTCACGTTTACAAAGGGATGCTCCCCAGGCCCTAAGAAAAGTTCCTGGGTTGTAAAGCAGGCCAGAGGCTCATTTAGCTGTTGGAATGATTTACATATATATCAAAGTGATGAGGAAGGACTTACAAATACAAGTTTTCTCAAGGAAATGCACTAGGAAAAGGGAGGGGGTAAAAGGTCTCTTTCCTTTTCTGTCAACAGGGAAAATTCAATCTTACTTTCATTTATCCTTACACATCTTTCCTTAGGGACAAAATAAATGTTCCATGGAAGAATTCACCCATGAAGAGCCAATAAAGAGGAGGCCAAGACATATTTATGAGACCATGTTGTGGGTGCCTGGAAGCCACCAGGGAGTCGTGTTAGTCCCCCTGTGGACAACTGTTTTCTCTCTTGAAGAACAGCAGAGATGTGGGATTGAGAGAGGCGATTAGACAGGCTTACTGACCCTGACTGGTTTCCAACAAGGGGTAGAAAGTGCTGGGCTGATGAAAGGCAGGAAATTTCTCTTATCCCACAGCTGGCTCCTTAATTACAAGGGCATAGTCCTACAACAGGACGATTTATGTCCCACAGCTGCTGCATTAATTCCAAGGACGTATCCCAATATCTCTTTCTTTGTTCTCTTTCTTTGCTCTCTCTCTCTCTTCCCCCCCATCGAAGCTTCTGTTTTAGGGCTGGGCTCCACAGGAGGAAAGAGCCTGTAATAGAAGATGTTTGGCACCATCAGAATAAAGATAATGATGGCAGAGCCTTCCAATAAAAGACCCCGTGGCAAGATTGAGGGCTGGAGCTGTCTCGACGAGCTACTTGGCTGACGACTCCCCACTGGAGTATTTTCCTCTCTTTCTGAGCAATAAAAGCAGTTATTTTTTTTCTCACTTTGTCCCTCTGCCTCTATTGAGAATTTTCTCAGTCAGTGGGCAAGGACCCACACATTTGAAGGGGCTTGGCTGGGTGGGCTTTCCAATTTGGAGTTTCCTCTATCCACTACAGGACTAGGCATGATATAGGCAGAAATATTCATCAGGTGAAGGATTCCTGGTAGGGAGAAATTGTCCACTCACTTGGATGCCTCTCGGCTACTCTACCCTCTGCTGTGGACAGAAGGGAGCCACAAAGTCCACCTAGACTGTTTGACACTAAGCATGGCCTAGGACTGAGCTCCCTGGGTCTGAGCAGAACAGTCTCCAAGGGGAGTTGTACCCAGAAGGGGAAAGTGAAATATTCTCCCAGGACCAGGCTCACCTTTTCCATTCTTGGAGTTTTGGGGGATCAAACATTTCACCACTCTGGCCGTGGTCCCAACTCCTGGCAGGATCTGGGTTTGATTTTGAATTTCAGAGAATAGAATTGGGCATCATTTGGGCAGATTGGGGGGTCTGTAAGGAAACGGAGTCTTAAGAAGGTTTTTTTTTTTTTCTTTTTTTTTTTTAAATGTAGGTATGACCTCCCTCCCCTTCGAACAGTGCACAGCCTGTCCTGTCAGCTTGTCAGCAGAGGAGCGATGCTTTCACTGAAAGTTCTCAGCAGATGTAACCAGGAGTGTGACCTAACTCAGGCTGACTCAGAGACAGCCATTGGGCTCTCTATTTCTGGGGGAGAATTCTCCAGGGTCCAGGCATTCAGGGGTTGAGCTGCTGGGCAAGTTCTCCACCGAACTTTTAAAATTCATTCCCTCAAACCTCACACTCCTTCAGTTCAAATACACCACTGGTGCTTAAAACCAACCTGTTACGTCATAACTAATTTGCCAGCATCCAGCTTTATATTGAATATTTTAGCTAAATTGGTCTGATTACACGAAGTCTTCTTACCGTAGTTTGTAAAATGCTCCCAACCACCCCTGCTTAACTTGAAGGGAAAGACCATCGGTTCGGTAAGGCAAAGGAGAATAGCGCCACGTAGTGGTACTCCATTGGGCAATTCCTCCCTCTGCCAATTATACACATTAGTTGCTAATTCTGAGACGGACCCTCTGAGACTCCCAATTACGCTATAAAACTTTGGTCCAGAAATGTACAAACAAAACGCATAAAAATGTTTTGGGATTAATTTAAATATGCTTCATGATTCCTAGAAGTATTCTCCAAAAGAGAAATTCCTCATTTCTTGTGCTCGAATCTCTCGCCCTTGGAATTTCGCTAAAGCTTGTTTCCCTAACCCAAGTCAGGAAGAAATTTCCAAATTCAGAATCAAACACAGATCCTGTCCGGACGCCAAACTTGGCGGAAAAAGGGCGATCAGGCTCTTGAACTATGACAGCGGACGAAAGACCTCTTTCGTCACTAAAACAAATGCCTTTATGAAGTCTGCGGACCAGTCTACGTGTGGAAAGAAGCTGGCTTTCTTTCACTCTGGGGTTTCCATCCGCTGTCTAGATGGAAAAAGAAAGTAAGGGTCTCTCCGCCGGACCCCGTACTGTGGAAGCTGCGCATGCGCAAAGCCACCCTGCGCGCGCGCGCGCGCCGGGATCTGGGTGGGGCGGAGTGAGGGAAGACCCGCCCTCCCTATTTGCCTTGTCCCTCCCATCCCTCCACCGAACGTCTCTTTCTTCACCTTTGACCTCGGAAAGAAGGGGGTGGGGCTTTTGGGGACGGAAGTAGCGATGCATTGTGGGCTCGCCTGGAGTTGATCCTGAATGGAAGTGGCGCGCCGTCGCTGACATTAACAGGTCCAGGCGACTGGGATTCGGACGCAGGCTGGGATTCGGACGCCTCGGACCTCGGGTGCAGAGCTGACCGCGAGGAGGCGGCGGCAGAGGCGCGGCGAGCGTTGATTGAGGGGACGGTTCTGCGCGGCCCCAAGAGATGGCTCACAACAAGATCCCGCCGCGGTGGCTAAACTGTCCGCGGCGCGGCCAGCCGGTGGCAGGTAACTCGGACGGGGGCTGTTGGAGCCCCCGCGCACCGGCAGGCCTGGGGTCGGCCGAGTGGGCGCAGCTTTCGTGGTTCAGTGCCTGGTAGTGGGGTTTCAGGACCGAGATGTGCTTCGTGGATGAGTGTTTGGGAACCTGGACTGGAGGGAGTGGCTCGGTGGGTGGGGGCACTTGTCACTATCCGGTAAGGCTAAGTATTGTGAACGGGAAGGTAGATAAGCGGTTTGTTTGGTTGGAGCTGAAGACCCAAGAACCCAGTGAACAGTCCTTTGAAGCTCAGTCAGGAGTTTGTGAACCTTTCAGGGTTCCCTGAAGGGGAAGGGACCAGTGTTTGTCTTGAGATGGAGGAGGGCGGGCGGGCAGTTTCCCTCGGTGAAATTGGTCAACACTAAGACTGAAGGTTTTTTTTTTTTAGTGACTTTTACGGAGATTTTTTTCCATAAAGATGTTTGACACAACAAACTTTAAATTTTAAGTGTACAGTTTGATAAATTTTGACTCCTCACATGAAACACACTTGAAACCATAAGCACAATCAAGATAGTTAACACAATCATTACCTCTCAAGGTTTCCTCTTCTGCCCCTTGTAATCCCTTCCTCCTCAGGCAGCCGTTGATCTGCTTTCTGTCATTAGATATAGTTTGCATTTTGTATACTTTTTAAAATAAATGGAAACATAGTATGTACTCTGTTTTGGGAGGGAGTTGAGATTTTCCCATGTTCTTGTATGTGTCTAGTTCATCCCTTTTTATTGTTGAGTAGTATTCCATTGATATAGATACACCACAGATTTGTTTATCCATTCACTTGTTGATGGTCCTTTGGATTATTTCCAGTTTTTGGCTATTACAAACTAACTTGCTATGGACATTCATGTACAGTTCTTTGTATGGACATAAGTTTTTACTTACCATGTGTGAATTTCTAGGAGAGGAATGGATCATATGGTAGGTGTACATTTAACCTTCTAAAACACTGCCAAACTCCCAAAGTCCGAACATTTTGCATTCCCACCATCAATGTACGAGAGTTCTGTTTGCTCCACATTCCCTCCAACATTTGGTTTGATCAGTCTTTAATTTTAACCACTGTAATAGGTGTTTAGTACTATCTAATTGTGGTTTAATGTTGAGCATCTTTTCATGTGTTTCTTGGCAGTTCACATATCTTCTTTTGCAAAGTGTCCAAATCTTTTGCTAATTTTTAAAGTTGAGTTGTTTATCTTATTTTTGAGTTGTTAGTGTTTTTTATGTATTGTAAATACAAGTCCTTTGTTGTATATGTGTTTTTAGAAGTCTTTTCTCCTGTCCGTGTCTTGCCTTTTCATTCTTTTGACAGTTTCTTTTGAAGTTTTAAATTTTAACTAATTCCAACTTAATGCTTTTTGTAGAGGTGTTTTGAAACAAAAATTAAAGGATTTTGTAGTGAGCTGTGCATACTTACTAATTATGTGCATATCTATAGTATGTCTGCCTAGTTATTTTAAACTATTTGAAGAGAAGATTCTGCAGTCATTTTTTAAAACTTTTTTTATTGAGTTATAGTCATTTTACAATGTTGTGTCAAATTCCAGTGTGGAGCACAATTTTTCAGTTATACATGAACATACATGTAGCCGTTGTCACTTTTTTTTTTGCTGTGAGCTACCACAAGATCTTGTATATATTTCCCTGTGCTATACAGTATAACCTTGTTTATCTGTTCTACATTTTGAAATCCCATTCTGTCCCTTCCCACCCCCTGCCCCCTTTTCTGTAGTCATCTTTTAATTCAGGGTTTCTGATTTTTCTAGTTAGTCAGCTTTTTGTCACATTTTATATAAAATCCTCAGTCAATAAAGCCATATAAATAATGGATAAAAGTGATACTGTAAGGTAACTGAAGCAAGTCTTAGGGTGAGGAAATGTTTTTCTTTAACGAAAAATGGGTGAGGAAATATTTTTTCTTTAACAAAAAATGAAATAATTTTCTTTATGTTCTAACAATTTTTATAGGCATTTTCACTTGTATTGAAAATAATTATACTTGATAGTCATTGTACTTTCTGCTTGAAATGAATTGATTACAGTTCTTTACATTTCTCTTTATAGATCTTACTCTACAGACATTTTAACTTCTTTTTTTTTTTAAATGGAAGTACTAGGGATTGCACCCAGGACCCTGTGCATGCTAAGCTTGTGCTCTACCACTGAGCTATACCAACTCCCTATTTTGACTTTTCCCCTTGCCATCTCTTAGTATTGAATCCTTTCTTTTTACATGTAGTTCTCTCTGTGGAGTTATGAAGAAACCTCTAAACTTAAATGTCTGGCATCTTTTTTAACCTGGAGCATGCTTCCAGGATCCTTTCATTAGAGTTACCTGCTACACTGATTTGTGAGAAAAACAAAGTCATAAAGCAGGTCTTGTCAGAGTGAATATTTTTTATTTGGAATTAGAAAAAAAGTTTAAAAATTAGAATTTTAATATAATCTGCAGATGGCAAAGACACATACCGGAATACTGACTTCTTAGATGAATGGGACAAGTGTGCTGATGGGGATGGATAGCAGCTGGTAAGGTGCTAGGCTCTAGGCAGCTTTATACTTGTCTAAAAAATGGTGTTTTTAAAAAATAGACTATTAAAAAATTGTCCTTTTTTCCCTCTATCTCCTGAGGATGAAGGGTCAGGAATAAAAAGTTTTTGTTTTTATTGTATTGGAATATTTTGACACCCAAAAGCTAGACTGTTAGTTACTGTGCTCAGTGAGTCACTAAGCTCATCTGTCTGATCAGTTGTGGGTCCTGGACAGAACCCCAGGCCTCCTGAAACCAAACTGAATCTTTACTGATATTCAGTTCTGTGTTGGCTTTTGATGCTTATTAGAAAGTAAAGTGAATACAACATAAAATTTTTGATAAGTCTCTGAATTTCCCTTAAAATTCTGTCTCTCTGTGTCCTAGAAGTGTTCATGCCACATTGTGTATTTTGGATATGCAGGGTTGGCAGTATTTTATAGTAGCAGAACAAGAAATGCTAGCTATATTCTTATAAACTTTAGCGGAAAATGAGGAATCATACACATTCCCAGTTTCTACTTCCTGTTTTCTTTCTCTTATTTTGTTTTCTGATGATAAAAGTAATTCCTGCTTATTATATAATTTCTTTGCTATTTTGCGTATTTAAGAAAATGTGTTAAGACTGCTTAAATTTTCTCATTGTAAGTACTAGAAGTTCATGATTTTCCTGAACCAGAAAGAAGATGGTACTAATTATAAACAGTAATTTGTTCCACCATGAAGTCACCTTCTCTAATTAAACCACACTTCCTGTGAGAGAGCTTCTGGAGATAGGGCCAAGCTTGACTTCTGAGGAATTCCTTTTTTCTCCTTCTGAGTGATAGATTTCAGGTGAACACTTGAAGAAAACAGACTTCTCATTTCTTAAAGATGGATTATTTAACATAAAATTATTTTGTATGCACTGTGTGTAAAGAACTTCAAAACTAACTGGGAATATAAATATGATACAGTTTTATGATAATAATGATGACTTTGAAGTCATTTTACTTAGAAATATTTGTGTCTACTTTGTGCTGGTTTTTGGGACTAGGGAGATGATTAAGGTATAATTCCTCACCTTAAAGAACACATAGTTTCATGGAGTAGCAAACCATAATTTTAAAACACAGTTCTGTTGTAACAAGTGCGGTAATGACTCTATTATAGAATATTATGGGATGCAAGAGGTAATAAACCTAATTCTTTGTTTGATGTTAGGGAAAAAGGGGCTCAGGGGAGGCTTCCCAGAGGAGGTGTATGTGAATTATCTTGAATAAATAGAAGTTTCCTAGATAGTTTTTTTTTTTAAAGGACTTCTCTTAGGATGATGATGGAGAGATAGCTTGGACTTAAAATGCAGATGTGGATATGAGGTTGGAGAGTATGAGCCAGATCATATAGGCTTTAGGGTGTGATGAGGAATTTTAACATTTATATACTTTTAAAGTGCACTGGCAAACCATTGCCATTTCTTAAGCATTGGGATGAGATGATTTGACTTCAGTTCTAAAAAGCTTACTTTAATTGCTCTGTGTTTAATGATTTGAAAGAGACAAGAATGGAAGTGGAGGGACTAGTTAGGAACTTGTCACGGTAGTCCAGGTGAAAGATAATGGTAATGGTTTAGAAGTAGAGTTGCAGCAAAGTAGGCTGATTTGAAAGATCAATTAGGGAAAATGGAAAGGACTTGGTGTTGAATTTAGAGTGAAAGAGAGTCAAAACTTTGTCCTAACTTTCTGCTTATGCAGTGGGATGACTGCTATCATTAAGGTTATTGTAGGGGAAGTAGGTTGGAAGAGGTATCCTTTAGATCGTGATTGCTCAAGCAGAGATGTTGAGTGTACAATTGGGTATATGGTTTGGAATTCAAACAGGTTGGAGTTGTACGGTTAAGGATCATCAGCCTAAAGACAATATTTAAAAACACACTTGTTGGTTAGGTGGGGTAAGTAATGCTGGTTTCTCTCACAAACCATTCTCCATACTCAAGGGTTCCCATCAGTTCCTATCAACATACTGTCTTTATTTCTTGCTTATAGCACAATGCCTTGTGTGTTAGGCAGCCTTCCTGGGCAAGTCTTCTCCAAGTGTTGACTCTCTGGGCTCTTTCCTTCTTATGATGCTGTCCTCTTAAACTTGTGACCTCTAAGGTTGCCATGGAAAGGAAAGAGCAGGAATGGATGATCTCTCAGGGGGTTTGCTCACCAACTTTGGTGGTGTTATATCTCACTCCTTCCCATATCCCACTGGCCACAATCCAGTCACGTGGCCCTCATCTAACAAAAGAGAAGCTGAGAAATGTAGTCATTCTGTGTGCTGTGGCAGAGGAAAATAATTAAGAGTTTGGTGAACAGATAGCATTGTTTCTGCCATGCAGTGGAGAAGATCTTCTGGGCAGAGAATGTAGAAAGAATAGAAGAAAAGGTTCCAAGATGGAGCCTACAAAACCTGGCATTTAGAAGTCACTTAGAGGAAAAAGAGGGAACAAAGAAGTTGAGAAGGAATAGTCAGAAATTGGGAGTGGTGTTAGGTGGGTGGTAGAAACTGAAGGAGTCTGGTGTCATGGAAGCCAAGAGAACTTTTCAAGAAGGAAGGAGTTATCAGAAGTATGAGATGCCTATGAGATGCCTGTGAGATTTTTAAGATACTAGGAAAGTTGGTAACAACATGAAAGGGAGGAAGGGTTGATTGATGGTCCTTGAGAAGGCAAAATGGAAAGGAGTCCAGAGAAGAAGGGAAGGAACTTGCCTTTAATGGGAGGAAGGACAAGGGATGAAAGAGAAAATGGACTCAGAAACAGAAAGGCTTATAACTGCAAAGGTGAGGCAGGTTTCTGCCCGATGGGGTGAGGTGTTGTTAAATAGCAGTTACATCCATGGGCTATATGTCCATATTACCAGGGCTTTGTTCTCTCATTTACTAGAAGTGTGACAGTGGGCAAGTTACTTAATCTCTCTTGCCTTCGTTTCCTCATCTGTAAAATGGGGATAATAACATTATGTACATTTCCATTAGGAGTAAATGAATTAATTCTGTGTAAAATGTTTTAAACCGTGTCTGATATGTGTAAATAAAGTTAGCTTCAGTTTCTCTTTACCTTTTCTTTTTAGTGAGGTTTAACGAGAAGCTGTCAGTTGAAAAGGGGGTGGAGGAGCTTGTATATTTTACAAATGAGGAAAAGATATGAAACAGTTATTTATCATAGGATTGCCTTTGAGATGGGTGATTATGATTTATAGTGTTGCCCATCTCCTGTGCTGTGAGATTTCTCTAGGAGCCTTGAGCTGCAGAGGTGTGGGCCCAAAGAAATCAGGTGGTTGGGCTTATTAAGGTCTGGGTTTTTCTCAGGAGAATGTGACTGAGTAATGGGGGAGGAGCAAGGAGGCTAAGGATATTTAGAGGAAACAGGATAGGACCTCTAAGACTACTGGGATGAAACATCTACCATATTATTATTTATTATGTTTATTGTTTGTGGTTTATCTCTCCCCAATAGAAAGTAGGCTCCGTGAGGGCAGAGATTTTTATCTGTTTTTTTCTTTTCACTACTGTATTCCAGACACCTAGAGTAATGCCTGGTACATAATAGGCACTCATTAAATGTCTGTTAAATAAACTAAATGAAGTATCATAATCTAGGTAAGGTGATGGTGGAAGTGATAAGAATTGGTCAGATTCTGGATATATTTTGAAGATAGGTCTGATAGGATTTGCTGATGGATTGGATGGGGGGTGTGCAGGAAAGAGACGGGTCAAGGATAACGCTAAAGGTTTTTGCCTGGGCTTCTAAAAACAGTGGTGTTACCATTTGCTGAGATGGGGAAGACCAGGAGAGGAGCAGCTTGTGGAGGTTGAAGATTGAGAACTCAGATTTGGATATAAGCCTGGGATGTCTGTTAGACATCAAGTAGAGACCAAGTCAGGTAGGCAATTTGATATTTGAGTCTAGAGTTAAGGGAGAGGTTTGGCCTGGAGATACACATTTCTGAGTCATCAGCACATTCATGGCTTTTAAAGAAGTGAGACTAGATGAGACACCAAAGGAGTGAGTGTAGATAGAAAGGGTGTGTAAGGACAGAGCCCCGGGATAAAACAGAGGGGTCAGGGAGATAAGAGGGAGCCAGTAAAGGAGACTGAGAAGGAGAGGCCAGAGGGAGAGAGGGGGAAACCAGGAGGATGTAGGATCCTGGAAGCCATGTGAAAAAGGTGATTCAGGAGCTTCCTCTTGAATTAACAATGATCAATTCTTTGAGAACTGAGAATTGACCATTGGTTTTAGCAATTGTGTAGGTTACTGGTGACCTTGAGTAGTTTTGAAGAAAATAAAAATAGAAAAAATGGTTTTTTAATGAAATTTAGGTTACCATCTCTGGACAGATGTTAAGATTTCACTTAGATAATATTTTAGGTAGATATTCTTACTGATTTTATGGTATTTTAGAATACTGACTTATATGCTAAAATAGGTGGTTTTAAAATTGGTTATGTAAGATGACTTCCCATATGCTTATATGGTGGTTCAGAAAAAAAGGCCAAAATTAGTCAGCCTTGCTGAAATTAGAATCACTGATAGTTGTTTGGAGAGTGATTTTGGTTACTATGCTTCTTAACATGATCCTTTTCCTGAGGTGTCTCAGGTCCATAAAATGGAGAGCGTTCCAATTTCATATTAAAATAGTGTAATAGGAATTTTAAGGAATTGATTTAATTCACTCCATTATCAGTTTTCTAGTACCATTATCTTTAAAGGTTTTGCGGCAGTAACTTTATTTTTTTTAATTAAACTTTTTTTCTTAAATGAAGTATAGTTGATTTACAATGTTGTGTTACTTTCTGGTGTATAGCATACTGATTCAGTCATATATATATACATTCATTTTCATATTTTTCATTATAGATTATTACAAGATATTGAATATATTTCCCTCTGCTGTACAGTAGGACCTTGCTCTTTATCTATTTATATATAGTAGTTTGTATCTGCTAATTCTAAACTCCTAATTTATCTCTCACCTCCCTGCCCCTACCCTTTTCCCCTTTGGTAACCGTGAGTTTTTTTCCTATGTCTGTGAGTCTACTTCTGTTTTGTAAATAAGTTCATTTGTATCATGTTTTAAGATTCCACATAAAAGTGATATCATATGATATTTGTCTTGGTTTTTCTGACTTCACCTAGTATGGTAATCTCTAGGTCCATCTATGTTGCTGCAAATGGAATTATTTCATTCTTTCTTATGGCTGAATAGTATTCTAGTGTGTGTGTGTGTGTGTGTGTATCATGTCTTCTTTATCCAGTCATGTTGATGGACATTTAGGTTGTTTCCATGTCTTGACTATTGTAAATAGTGCTGCTGTGAACATTGGGATTCATGTATCTTTTCAAATTAGAGTTTCCTCTGGATATATGCCGAGGAGTGGATCATATGGTAACTCTATTTTTAGTTTTTTAAGGAATCTCCGTACTGTTTTCCATAGTGGCTGCAATAAATTACATTCCCTCCAACAGTGTAGGAGGATTCCCTTTTCTCTGCACCCTCCCCAGCATTTTTTGTTTGTGGGCTTTTGAATGATGGCCATTCTGACTGGTGTGAGGTGATACCTCATTGTAGTTTTGATTTGCGTTTCTCTGATAATTAACAATATTGAGCATCTTTTCATGTGCCTATTGGCCATTTGCATGTCTTCTTTGGAGAAAGGTCTGTTTAGGTCTTCTGCCCATTTTTTGATTGGGGCTTTTTTTTTTAATTATTGAGTTGTATGAGTTGTTTATATATTTTGGAAACTAAGCCCTTATCAGTTGCATCGTTTGCAGATAATTTTCTCCCATTCTGTAGGTTATTTCATTTTGTTTATGATTTCCTTTGTTGTGCAAAAGCTTATAAGTTTGATTAGGTTCCATTTGTTTGTTTTTGCTTAAGGTAATAACTTTTTAGTGTAGTAGTTTAGAACTTAAGAGTCTTTATGGAAGTTCCATTCACTGGTAATTTTCTTTTGCTGTTACATTTGATTGTCAATTTCTAGAATTTATGTTGTCCTTAAAGGTTCCAAGGCAGTACTTTTTAAAAGTATAGTGTAAATTGAGAGTGTTTCATGAACAGTTCCATTTAAAACATTGTAAGAAAGTGATTTTGAGAATTGCTAGTTACAGAGTTTTAACCTGAAACATTTTTGTTAATGAAAATTGTTATCCATCTTAATGTTGTTTAGGAAGATTCTTACCTCTGAAGACAATGTTGGGACCAAGGTATGATAGTCAAGTTGCTGAAGAAAATCGGTTCCATCCCAGTATGCTATCAAATTATCTAAAGAGTCTGAAGGTAAGTATCAAAACATTTTTAATACTGCTTTAACATATTTTCTCTCTCTTTTGTTCTTCAGGTGACTTTTTAAAGTAAACCTTTTTATTTTGAAATAATTAGTTGACTAAGAGGAAGTTGCAAAAATTGTACATAGTGTTCTGTGAACCTTTCCCCAGCTTTTCCCAATTGTGACAACTTACATACTGTACTACAGCATCAAAAGCAGGAAATTGATGTTGGTACGGTACAGGTGTTTTATATATATATATATATATATTTTTTTTTAATTGAAGTATAGTTAGTTTATAGTGTTGTGGGTATAGTACTGTTGATTAGATTGTAGACCTGATTTAGTTTTTACATTCATTAATTTGTATGTATACGTATATAGTATATAGTTTGACCTAATGTATAGATTCATGGTGATAGTTACAGAACTGTTCCTTCTCCTTAAAAGAACTCCCTCATGCTAGGCCTTTAGAGTCAGACCCTCTTCACACCCCCATCCCTATTGGCTGGAAACTCATAGCTAACCTATTCCCTATCTCTGTAGTTTTGTCATTTTGAGAATGCTATATAAGTGGAATGATACAATATGTGACCTTTTGGGATTGGCTGTTTTCACTAAGCATAATGCCCTTGAGGTCCATCCAGGTTATTGTATGAATCAACAAAAATTTTGTTCCTTTTTATTGCTGAGTATTCAGCTGTATGGATGTGCCAGAATTTATTTAACCATTCTCTTGCTGAATGGTTAAATAACAATTTAATCAATTTGAGTTGTTTCCAGTTATGGGGTATCGCAAATACAGTTGCTATGTATATTCATTAGAAGTGTTTATATGAACGTAAGTTTTCATTTTTCTGGACTGAATACCCAAGCAGTCGTACCATACCCAATGGTATGATGATTGCGGGCATGGTTAGTTTTACAGGAAATTGCCAAACTTTTTCTAGATGAAAGTTGTGATTTTAAATGTTATTCTGACATGATACTAATTATATTAGCTTCCTAGGGCTGCTCTAACGAATTACCAAAAACAGGATGACTTAAAATAGCAGACATTTATTCTCTGACAGTCCTGGAGACTAGAAGTTCCACATAAAGGTGTTGGCAAGGTTGGTTTGTCCTGGAGGCTGGGAGGAGAGTCTTTTCCATTCTTTACTCCAAGCATGGCCAGCAGTGCTTGGTATTCCTTGCTTGCAGCTCCTCAGTGGTCTCTCCTTCATTCTTGACATTCTCCTGTGTGTTAGTATCCAAATTTCCCTCCTATAAGGACACAATAATCCAGTATGACCTCATCTTGATTATATTTGCAAAGACCCTCTAACCCTGTTTCCAAATAAGGTCACGTTCACAGGGAGTTAGGACTTGAACATATGTTTTTAGGGGGCATAATTCAACCCATAACACCAACCATCGTTACTCTTCTATTTTATACTCTTGGTAGTCTGTTATTGTATGCTATATTAGTACATTCAAATATTGGTACCTATTACGTGCAAGGTTCCTATCATGGGATAGTGAACTTATCACTTGGTTTTTGGTAACCTGTTACTCATTCCTACTCTTTGGGTCTTTATTTATTTATGTATTTTTATTTTAGCTCACTTGTAAACTTTCAATTTTTAACCTTCACTATTAATTACATGTTGAAAGTTATACTTAACATTTATAGAGCATTAAATATTTCCCAGGCAGAGTGCTGAGAGCTTGGGCTTGGAAGCCAGTTAGTCTGGGTTTGAGTTCCAGCTTGCCACTTACAGCTTTTGTGGTGAAGTTGTGTAATCTCTTCATGTTTCAGTTTTCTCATTTGCAAATAAAATTAATGCATATAAAGCACATAGAATACTGCTTGGCACAGAGTAAGGACTTCATTTAAATCTCAACAACAACTGTATGAAGTAAATTCTATTATTATCCTTATTTCATGGATCGGGAGTCTATTAAGAGAAATAAATTTGTGTGTGTAATAGATGTATGAATGTATGTATATACCTACAGATACCTTCACACGCAAACACATTGTTCACACAGACACATCACATGCACATATACACATTTATACATATATGTGGGCTCAGGGCGGCTTAGTCACACAGTACAGTTTCTCAGTTTCCTTAGCCAGAATATTCGTATGTATTTAGAAAATTCATATTTTCTTGCTCATGTCCACTTTTCATTCACTTCTTATTTTGGGCCTGGAGACAAACAGCATGGATTCTAATTCTAACTGAGATACTATATTATGGCATCTAAAGCTTTGTGTGTGGCAATAAGATCACTGCAGAAGCTATGTTGGAAAAGGGAAGAGAAGTAGGCTCAGGGGTAGAGATTGCAAAAAATGCCATCAAAAGTACATTTCCTGTAAGTGCGAGCTTGCTCGATTGGTAGACCTGCCCCTTATCCATACAGGACCTGAGAAATTGGGAGGAATCAACAGAGCACATTAAGGCAGCTAGTTGTATTTTAGAAGCACATAATTTTGTCTGTTTTGTGATTTATGAAATTTAAATATTTTTGCCATTTTTCCCCCCATGACAATGGAATTGAATTTTTCTGTAGACTAGTCTCCTTTAGGAAAAGCTGACAACAGTTACTCAATAAAATCAATAGCAACAAAAGAGAGAAAAATAACAATTTAAAAAGTACACATTGTTTTTCTTGCCATTCTTCTTAGAGAGTATATGCTTTAGAATGAGGTGGAAGATATGTGGCTTAACTGTTCTTTTACCTTGCACAGTTCAGGTGTGCATTTCTTAGTGAGACTATCTTGCTAGGCTGAATGTGATTCTAGTTGTTAAAGATTTCTCAAACCTATGGCCCCTGGACACAAACCAACTACTTTAGTCACTGCTCAATGGAATAAATAATGATTTTGTTTCAATACAAGAAGAAAAACTGGCTGAGAAATGGGAATGAGTCTTCAGTGAGATGCATAAAAATGGCCATGTGTCCTGTTCTTTATTGATTATTTAAGGGATTTACAAGGGAATTTTGACTGTGCACACTTTTTACCCTACATCCTCACTTTAGAATTTAACTGCCTAACAGGTAGTATAGTGATGTGATGGCTGCTTGGAGTGTTGATTTGCTGTGTGCCTGGAGCTTAGGTTGGCTGTATTTCAGATAGAGGCTATCCCTGTTCTGGCTTCTTGTTTAATAATCACTGGAATGGCAGATGCAGAAAACTATATTAGCGTTTCGTTTTTAGGTAAACTTTTGTAATGTTGAAGTGGAGTCTTTTGCTTATGTTCTTGTTTCATCATTATTTAGGGCTTAATTTATCTCACTTAGTGCCTGCCAAAGTTCTGTGCTTTGAATAAGACCTGGGTAAGTAATGCTTTCATTGTTAATAGTTCATTGCCAGAGTGAACGTACAATCTCCCTCAGTGGAGCTGGATGAACTGGCCTCAAATATTGCCATTCAGTCAACTCGTTTTGAAACAAATTCAGTTACGAGTAAATCTGCCCTTTTTTCTTCCTTTCTTTCTTTTTCTAAAGGTTAAAATGGGCTTGTTGGTGGACCTGACAAACACTTCAAGGTTCTATGACAGAAATGACATAGAAAAAGAAGGAATCAAATATATAAAACTTCAATGTAAAGGGTAAGTCATGTATTAAGTTTCTTTAATGATGAAACCTTTCATTGAAATTTATAATCTCTTCTTTTAAAAAGGAATGTTTCTGTATTACTAGACATGGTGAGTGCCCTACAACGGAGAATACTGAGACATTTATTCGTCTGTGTGAGCGGTTTAATGAAAGAAACCCACCTGAACTTATAGGTACGTTGGCTTTACCACTGTTGAATGTTTTATTTTGTGATTGGGTTTCCATTCTCTTTTTCACAAGTGAGTTGGTAAGTGTTTTTATTTTTTCATTTTTATGTAATCACCAAGAGTGTTTATTAGAGTAGTAGACTAACTTTTGTGAGCTATAAAATAGATGTATTTTTGTAATTTTTATATTTTTTGAGATAAAGCCACAATAGTCCCTTTTCAGTTGTACTGTACCTTAAACACTATATATTTAATTTTTATAATTTTGGATTTTGCACTGTATGTATCATTCTGAACTTTCCTTTTTTCTCTTATATTATATTTCTGAGCATGATCCATGATGATGTATGTAACTGTTGTTTATTTGCTGTGGTGTAGATTCCATCATATGAATATACTATTAGTTTATCTTTTCTCCTGTTGATGGATAGTTCTTTCAGCAGATATATGTTGATTGCTACTTTTTGCCAGATATAGATTCTTAACACATCTCAGTGGAGAAAACAGAAAATAGGGATTGGTGGGGGTGGAGGGAGGGAAGGCAGGCAATAAACATAAACGTAATAAATAAGTAAATGTTCTTAAAACAATTATTACTTAAAGTATTTGTGTTATTTTCAGTTATTTTTTACTATTATAAACAATGTTACTAGGAGTGGTTTTCTAGAAATTTTAAGGTTTATGATTTTTAGCTTTGATTCTTTGTTCTTTCTGGTATTTATATTGGCATATGATTTGAATTGAGGATCTAATTTAAATTTTTCTATATAGTCAGTCATTTGTTTCAGCACAGTTTATTGAATAATTTTTTCTCTATAGTTAGATGCCATAAATTAACTTCTTATGTGTACTGTTGGAAATTTTTTCCAGTTCATTTGCCTTTTAATCTTTTTGCTAATATTTAAAAACTCTTGTTGTTAGTATATTTTCTTTTGTGATTCCTTCTTTTTAAAATTTTAAGTAGCTAATATTTTCCCCATTTAAAGAATTGACTGAAAAAATTTTAGGAATAGTAAAATTCAGGAGATAAAACAGTTGGACACAGATAAATAAGAAAACATCAATAATTTTTCTGCAAATAAACAGCAACTAGTTAGAATATATAGTTAGAGTGATCTCATTAATATTAATAATATTGGCTAACATTAAACATTTCCTCTCTGCTAGTCACTCTGTAAATCACTTTATATACACTATCTCATTTTCTTCTCAACACTGTTAGGTAGATATTGTCACCCTCATTTTATAAGAAACAGGCTTGAGAAGGTTAAGTGACTTGCTCAATGTCATTCACACAATTAGTAAGAGTTAGAGTTTAGATCAGATCCTAAGTAATCTGAGTTGAGAGTTTACACTCTAAACTACTTCTGTCTTCTGTAACAGAAGTACAAAACACCAAGGAATAAAGTTATTAAGAAATGTAGAAGTTCTTTAGTAAGAAAAATGTACTTGGATATTAAAAGATTGAAGCAATAGAGAGATTGTTTTCAAATTAATTTCAGATTTTTAATGTAATTCTGAGCAAAATCCCAATGAGACTGGAAGAATTACTATGAAGTGAATTTCTATTTGTAAAATCCACTTCCTCCATTAAGTCAGTAAATATTTATTGAGCTCGGAAAACAATTGTTTGGCAGATCATCAGGCAAGATTATGAGCAAGAAAAAATTTGAAAAACAAAAGAATAAGGGGTTTTTCCTTACTAGTTATTAAAGCATATGGTAAAGCAGTGGAAACTACAGTTGTTTCCTGGTGGTAGAGATGGAGGGGGAGGGTGTGATTATTCAACAAATGATGTTAAGCCCCTTAGCCAGCTATATAATAAAATATATTTTAGGTTGTTCATATATTTTTGAAAGGACCCATAGTAATACAGGGGAAAATATAGGTCAGTATTTATTTAACTCTGAGGTAAGAAAGGATATTCCAAGTATATCATCAAAGGCAGAACCCATAAATAAGTATTTTTTTAGGAGTGTTCCTGGACCACCTGCATCAGAATTATCTGAGGATCCTTATTAGAAATGCATGTTTTAGGGCCCCATCCTGGACCTGCATAATCAAAAACCCTGGGAATGAAGCCTAGGAATCTAACTTTTTTAAAAACAAGGGTTTGTGCCTTCTGAAACAGCCTATACTCTATGTAGTATGTATCTTTAAATAGATCTACCTTTACTCCAAACAACCGAAAACCAAAAAGAAAAAAAAAAAAACAAAACCACAAGGGTCTGAGGTAATTTTTACGTACACTTAAGTTTGAGAACACTCAAGAATTAATGTCTATCAATGATAATAGTAACAGCTGCTATTAATGAATGCTTATTATTTCCCGGCAGACTTGGTGGGAAACTTTAAATGAACAAATGAAGGAATGAAAGAATGCGGTCTTTTCACAACCACTCGGTGTAGTATGTGGTGGTATCCCTATTTTACAGATAAGAAAACTGAGCCTCAGAGAAATTAAGTAGGTTGCCCATTGTCACACGTCTAATAAGTATTTGAGCCAGGTTTGTAATCTAGTTTCTGGCTTCAAAGTCCAGATCTTTAATTGCTTGCTACACAGGTTTCTAGATTGACCACATAAAAGAGAGGAAAACAAAAAAAGATTTTATTTTACAAAATACAACAGAAGCAGAGCAAAAAGATATCTGACAAATTTGGAGCAATATTTGAAGCATATATATGACAAATTCAAAGTTAATATTCTTATAGACAAAAAGATTTTACAATACAACAGGCAAAAGAGGCATTCCTCCATAGAAAAATATGGAAAACAATGGAAGTGTAGTTTATGAAAGATGAAATATAAATAGCCAAGAAACATGAAAAATTTTTCATTTTTACTTCTTAACGAGAGATACAAATTAAAATATGTTGTTACCTTCTCCCATCAAATTGGCAAAGATTAAAAAAAATATAAAGTTAAGGATTGGATAAAATGGGTATACACACACATTGTTAGAGTATTAATTGGTACAGCCTCTCTGGAAGGACAATTTGGTGATATTTCTCAAGATCCTTTAAAGTGTTCATACACTTTGTCTCATCAAGACTACATCTAAGAATTTATTTAAAGGAAGTAGTCAGAGATGGACATAAAGATATATGTGAAAAGAATTTAATCACAGCTTTGTAATTAAAAAACTGGAAACAGCTTACATATCTGATAGAAGCAGATCTTTATATTGTACAGTATGAACAATTATTTAACAGAAGAATAATATTATGGGAATATATGATATGATATTGTGATGTGTATACATATTTACACATTCACATGAATATATGTAACAAATACCTATATATTTAGGATACAACTAGAAGATATACAGCCTAAAATAGCATTGAAGCGTTTATTTGATTAATTGAAAACAACTTTTTTCATTTGAGAGCAGCCATTGTAGGGGTAAATGCTAAATATACTTGAAGAATTCAAGAAGAATACCAAGACATCTTAACATCTGGAATCGGATGTCATTTCAGAAGGATTAACACTCCTAGGTTTAGGAAAACACATTGACCCTTGTTATAAATTGTCCATTTGTATTCTTGGTAGAAATGATGGGAAAAATTTCTAAATTGAGTGTTTTATGAGTTACAAAAATTATAGAACTCTGCTACAATGTATTGTATATATTATTTTACATCAGTAGTAGCGATTCATGTGGATTGAAGTGGAAACATTTACTTTGGGCCCGCCCAGTTTGGGAGCACAGATTGCAGTGGCAGTTATTTATTGCAGTGATACTCTGAAGACAGTAACAGAAGCTGGTCTTAGAGCTGGTTGCTGGTGACGCCTTTCCAAACAAAAGGAATAAAGAATCAATTTTGTGTTCTTAGGATCTAAAAATATTGGCCTGCTTTTACAGTATTTTAATTGTGTTTTAGGATTGCAGATGGAATTTTCATCAGCCTTGCACACGTTCTTGACACACATTTGTGACATGGCAAAAGTTAGACTTGGATTTACTTTCAAAGCTATTATTTTTAAAAAAATTGTTTTTAAATTAGCTGATGTAATTGTTAATTCATTCAGTTAGCCTGGTTGTGGGATAATACTGTAGACTTAGCGGAAATGTTAAATTCTTGAAACACTTCATACAGAAGCCTCAAACGTTTTCTGACACTTAGGAAGAACTATAGCTTCATAATCCCTCATCTGAAACCTGTGTAGTCAGATGTTTCTAGTCCTTCCCATATGTTACCTTCCCCTAGCGGCAGTACACCCTAATTTTTCTTTGTTGTAGAAATTTTCAAACATACCATAAGTAGGGAGAATAGTAAAATGATACCTCATGTATCCATCACTAAGTTTCAGTAATTGTCATTTTACTGATTTTTTTCCATTTTTCCTCTTTTTCCCTTAAATTTGTTATTGAGTATTTTAAAGCAAACCACAGATGTCATGTCATTTCACTAAAAATATTTTAGTATGCATCTCTAACTGATAAAAATTTTTGGTTTTTATATAACCACTGTGCAGTTATGTCAAACAGAATAATGAGAAATTCCTGAAGGTCATCTAAAGCCTAGTCCATTTTTGGGTTTTGTCAGTTATCTACAAAATGCCTTTTTAAAGTTAGATTTTCAAACCAGGATTCAACAGTGTCCATATATTGCATTTTGTTGGTATGTCTTCTAAATCTCTCTGATTCTCCTTTTTTTAATGCCCATCAACTTGTTGGAAAAAGTAGGTCATTTGTCCTATAAAATATTCCACATTCTGGATTTATCTGATTGCTTCCTCATGATATTAGTTAACATTTTCCTTTGTCTTCTGTTTGTCCTGTAAACTGGTAGTTAAATCTAGAGGCATAATTATATGTTTTAGGCAAGAATACTTCATAGGTGGCGTTGTATGGTTCCTTTCACACCACATCAGGAGGCACAGAATGTCTGGTTGTCCCACTCTTAGTGGTATGAAGATGAGTAAGTAGGCTCAGGTGGTGGCATCTTGTTTCCTCTGTTGTAAACTTTTCCATCTGTCTTTTGTCAAATGGTTTTAT